TGGCTGCAACAATAGGCTCAAACACAGCAAGGATTGTGAGGATAGTGCAGGCTCAAGCTGCGTTTCATTTTCTTGTACGTAGGGTCACTGTGAGTCACAATCAACTCAAAGGAACCTAAAAAAAACACCACGACCACCATAAAGGAGAGTTTGCAGACTACTTCGTATGAAAAGCTAAAAGCAAAGTGAGTAAAACTTCTACCAGATTGTAAAAGTAGAAGCTGTGCTAAATTTGTGCTGCTTTGGAATGGTCCAGAAACAAAATCAGATGGGAAAATAATTTAGGTTTAGTCAAAAGAAAAACGCTGCATTAAAAATAAGTCCTTCCCAACACCACTGAATGAATGACTTGCCACAAAAACATAAAATTGCTTGGCTGCTGCTACCATGTGTATTTATGGTAGAGGCCACGAGAATCTTCCTACTCTCTGCTTCAAAGTCAAGGGCAAGGGAGGCAATTAGAGGCAGGCTAAAATGACAAAAATAATGATCCATTTCTGAGATGTGCTGGCAAACCATGAGACTAGTAGACTGGTAGCAACTAACCAGAAGGTTCCTTCATTACTTTCTCTGTTTCAAAGCTTTAAAATAGAAAATATTCTTCCATCATTGTTCTGGTAAAAATTTGTTAATTAAGCCCATAAATCACATTTTACTCACCCTTGATCTAATTCACAAAACACTGCCTTTTTACCTACTTATTTCGCTATTAAGGAGTATCAGCGCTTTCAACAGAATAATGATTAACACTGCCAGGAACCCAAGTCCATTTCATTTTCATAATGCCAGCCACCCACCACCTTACTTTCCCTGAATGGCATTACGATTACACAATCTAATATTTAAAGGCTGATGCGAAACCGTCAAGAGATAACTGACATTCTTGGCAAAATGTGTCCATCAGGATTTTAGAGGTGATTTTTAAATAGTTTTGAAACTTTCCATAAAATCCGTTGTTGTCAAGTCAATTCCGACTCATGGAGACCTTGTAGGACAGGATAGAACTGCCCCATAGGGTTTCCAAGGCTGTTATCTTTACGGAAGCCAACTGCCAACATCTTTCTCCCTTGGAGTGGCTGGTGAATTCAAACCGCCGACCTTTCAGTTAACAGCCAAGCGCCTAACCACTGTGCCACCAATGCTCCTTTTTCATAAAGACAGGTATACTAAAAGTAGGGGATGGTTTCTCCAGGCTTAATGTCCTTTTGTATGAGTACCTTTTACCTTTACCAGGAGCCCTGGTGGCACAACGGTTAAGCGGTTGGCTGCTAACCGAAAAGTGAGCATTTCAAACCCACCAGCCACTTCGCAGGAGAAAAGACCTGGTGATCTCCTCCGGGTGATTACAGCCTTGAAAATGCTATGGGGCAGTTCTACTCTGTCATATAGAGTCACTATGAGTGGGAATCGACTGGACTGCCCATGACAACTACACCTTTTACCAATGAGATGGACTGACACAGTAGCTCCAACAATGGGCTCCAACATAGCAAGACTGTGAGGATGCTGCAGGACCGGGCAGCGTTTCATTCTGTTGTACACAGTAAGATGGCTATGAGTTGGAACCGATTTGAAGGCACCTAACAACAACCTTTTTACCTGTGGCGCAACGGTTAAGCACTCATCTGATAACTGAAAGGTTGGCAGTTTGAACCCACCAACAGCTCTGCGGGAGAAGGATCTTGTGATCTGCTTCTGTAAAGATTGCAGCCTAGCAACCCTATGGGGCAGTTCTACTCTGTCCTGTAGGGTTGTTATGAATTGGAATCGACTCGATGGCACACAACAACAAAATTTCACCCTAGAAAAGAACTAAAGGCTAAGCCTGTGCCACATGATTGACAAGGTCAAGGACCTTGCACTGAAGTTTTATAAAATAAAAAGAGGGTGGCCTCCCTGAGCTATGTCCATAGAAGTGGGCCACTGGGACAGAAAATGTGCTTCTGTGCAGAAGGCAGTAGAAGCAACCTGTTTGCTTTTCTCTCTGTATGTTCAGACCAGTCTGTTTCCATGTCTCCTTGAGATTAATCACACTGGGAGAGTTGAAGAAACTCAGCAACCTTCACTATCTAGTTTTCTTGGTAAAATAAACAAATTAGTGTCTTGATCCATTAATATATCACATAAAATAATACTTTTAGAGGTAATGTTTATAAAGAATCTTCTCTTTTAGAGATACAAATTGAAATATTTACTAACTAAAATATATGATGTCTAGGATTTGCTTCTCAATTATCCAGCTGGAAGTAGGGGTTTGGGAGGTGTAGAAGAAACAATATTGGCCCTGATCTGATAAATACAGAATCTGAGTAACGGGTACATGGAGGTTCATCATGTTGTTGTACTTTATATTTGAATTTTTCCATTATACAAGTTCTAAAGAATAATATAGTCTCAACTGTCAATCAGCATTTAACTAGCATAATGGTTTAAAAGAATTTAGCTACCGCAGCCCTCAGAAGAGGCCAACATCTTCCTGCCAAGGATCCAGTATTTAAGGAAACAAAGACTTTATATTGAAAGAGAAGACGACTCTTCCAAGACAGGTGATATTCTGGAGGAACCATATTTACATGGCTTTATAACAATGTCTAGGAAAAAAATCAACCACAGTGGAAGCGCATGGGTTTGTGTATCCACAACAAAAAAAGCTTCTGGGCAAAATAATAATTAAGAAATGTCCCTGTGTCTAAATTATTAGTAAAGGAAAAATGATTTTGGTCCAATACCAAAGGCTCCTGGTTAAGGAAATCTTAAATTTAGAAAAGAGGGAAAAAAGGTGTTAAACTAGTAAAGGTCTGTGTTCTTCATATTAGGAGGGGGGACCTTTTACTCCAAAAAGAAAATATAAAAATAACAAACAAAAACTATTGAGAAAATAAGCATAAGGAAAAGAATAAAAGGCAGTAAAGGGGGAAAAAAGGCTTCTACCAGTGATGAAGTCCATACATATTTTAAAGATTTAGGGCATACTTTTATTCATTTATCTCAATCTGGGAGGCAATAATACAATGTCAAGGGCAATCTTCAACAAAATAATATCTATTCCTCTTCTGAGTTTAAGAAGCTTTGTCTCCTGTATCCCTCAAAGATATTTTTAAACTCTTCACATGAATTAATAGGAATCTTTTTAAAACTGCGCCAAGGAGAATACAGTGTTAGCATCTAGTAAATCCACAAAAGATCAAAGAGGCTTTATTTCTAATTTACTAAATATACTACATACCTCCCACACATACACACCATAAGGCAAATGAAAACTACTTTTAAATAGCTCTCCTTCAAGGAGCTTAAAATCTAGCAAGGAAAACATAAGATCTATACATCCAGGAGTAAAATATATAATTTTTAGATTACAGTCATTTTCTTGTTTGTTTATAGATTTATGACTAAGTTAGCTGAAGCAGCCAAACTTCACCTCTAAGTAAGGGAGGTATCATTTACTTAAATACAGTTATTCAAAATAAATGTGCATTGTCCAGAAGCAAATCGAGCAAAAATTTGACAACTTCCTATAATGTACTGAACATTTAAGACTCATCGTTATCTCAGACGTAAAAAGTAGTATATAAATTTTTAACTTTACAAAGTCAAAAAATTTAGTTAAACATTTACAAGTAAGGTTAAACAGCAAGCATGTTTATTACCACCCAGCAGATAAAACATGCTAGCCTTAGAAGAGGGACAAGAGATTTTTTCCCCCTCAAGTGTTATGCTTCAACTAAAGTTTCCATGTCAGAAACCAAAGCAAAGATTGGCAAAACCCAAGTGTTATTTTTTTAAATGGAAAAATTATCATTATTATTTAGCTTTGGATATATCGTTTTACTACCAACTTACCAAAAAAAAAAAAGTGAAAAATTAAGTCACAGATTAAGAAAAATATTTTTTTCAAATAGGTTTTTAAAAATAGGAAGCGTATCAAAAAGATATATACGAAGTCCCGTCCCACCTCCAACAAAATGTTTTAAAAAAGTAGATTTATACAAGTCAGATACTCAAACTCAGATGACTCAGTTGCAGAAAAGGTGACACAGAGAGAAAAGAAAAACGAACTAGGGAAAAATACTGTTGCCATCTTGAGACCAAGGAAATACAAAGAAATTCAAATTCCAGTTAAGCACTTCAAAATATTTAAAGTCAGAAGGCTATCAATAAAATGAAAACAGCTCATTAATAAACAAATTCCACTGCTTTGCAATTGTATGGCAATAATGCATTGTTTACTTGTAACTAAAACTTTACAAGTGTATGGACATAAATTCACAGTACATTTTAAGCTAATTAAACAAGATATTTATTACTCTGAATAATTCATAAAAGGTTAATCATAAGCTTAGTTTTCACAATGCGGTTTCTTTATTACAGCTTGATTTCAAGGTAAAACTAACAGCATATTAAAAAGAAATCATCTTCCCAAGGAATTATTTTCTTAACTGTAATAATGGCATTTATGGTTATTTAAAAAAATGTCCAAATGTCTTAGAGGTATGTACTGATACAAGTAGGGGTCAAATGAAAATGTTTGGAACTTACCTTAAAATATTTCAGCAAGAAGAAGGAATAGAGAAAAACAGATATGAGAAAATACTGGTAATTGTAGGATTTGAATCTGGGTCATGGGGATTCATTAATCTCTGTGCGTTTGAAAATATTTGTAATAAAAATAAATTACAGCATTTACTTTTATTTACTTTCCAATCCCAATCTTTTTTTTTTTTTTTAAACAGAAGACAGTATATATCTGATTACACTCTATTTCTATGGAAAGAAAGTAGACTCTACTTCACTGTCAAAGAACTACTAACTAGTCAAATATCCATGTTACAATCTGCAAACTTGGGATACAACTTTGAACTGCAGGAAAAAAAGGAAAACCTACAAGAGTCTCAAGACACTACAGACGTATCAACAAGTCCATGATGAAAATCCAAACAAATGACCTAGAAAAATTGTTCAAAAAAAATTTTTTTTTTGAAACATTTTAGAGGGTAGGATACCTGGTACTTAATTAAAACTCCCTGCTCTCAGGGAGTTGGCAAAATTATTTTCTTAGAGAATGGAAATGTTTCCTTCCTTCAGAAGATCTGAATCCTTAGTAGGGAGAGAGACGAAACCACTGTCCCCAAGTGAGAGAAGAGAAGGCAAGAACCCTGTCGATCCAGGAGCAGATTGTATCTAATCAAGCAGGCTGGTAAGGAGGAAGAGAAGAAAAACAGAGGAATCACAACCTGCAGGATGACAATAGCATCTAATCTTGAAAACTTCCAAGTCACAAGCAACATATAATTTCTCTAAAAATAATACAGAAACATGCAAATAGGTGGGTGGCTCTGCAAAATCCTAATAGAAACATCTATTTCAAAAATGTCCTACCTTCCCTTTGAGGCTGTATGCTTCTTTGCTGAGCCACCCACAGTGCCTAGTGCAAAGCTCACACAAAGGAGGTGCTCAGTAAGTATTAACTAGCTAGATTTAATACGGCTAATATAATATTAAGGCTTCATGGCATACCTGAGCAGTGTATTTGGTACTCGTGTTTCCAATGTTCTCTTCTTTGAAACTATTTGAGATCAGTACTTCCTTTTTTTGTTTTAAATATAGTAGACGAGTTTTTACTCTAACACTGGGCATGCAGTCTGCAATGTCACTCTATGAAGATAGAATAAAGCCAAATAAGTGTTTAATAATACCTAGAGACATTCTAATCACATATGTGAATCATTCACAGCAAGCAGTGATAGTTTACAAGGAAATGTTTTCACTGGCACTCTTCATAGTGACATACAGTATATTACATTTGCAAAACTGTAAGAATAAATGCCAAGTGGTGGTACCCACTGAGCAGATGAAAATTATGAAAGAGTGAACAAGAGTACATCAAAAAATGAACTTTTTACACACTAGTCAACACAGCTCAAAGTCATGGAGCTAAATACTGAAACTCCCAGGGCCAAAACCCAGGCCAAGGCCCTTCCTAGAGACCAACTAACCACTCCCCCGCCTTAATTTTATGACTCCAATAATCTCAAGAAGGAAAATTTCTTAAACCAAGTTCTTTAAAATGCAAATACGTTGTTGTTAGCTGCCACTGAGTCAGCCTGTGACTCACAGTGACCTCATGCACAACTGAAGGAAATGCTGCCTTGTCCTGCACCATCCCCATGACTGGTTGTGGATCAGACCACTGTGCCTCACAGGGTTTCATTTTTCATTGGCTGATTTTCAGAAGTAGACTGCCAGGCCTTTCTTCCTAGTCCCTCTTGGTCTGGAAGCTCCTCTGAAACGTGTTCAGCATCATAGCAACACACAAGCCTCAGGTGAGCACCAGCAGCACTGGCTGGGAATCGAACCAAGGTCTCTTGCGTGGAAGGCGACAATTCTACCACTGAACCACCAATGCCTCAATATTAAAATATAATTGCCTGTAACCCCAGAAGAAAGGGGAAAAGAGATCACACATGCAAACACAATTGAGTCTGCCCCTATAAATAGGTGCAACATCATTGCTAACACTCGGATCACTGTGCCTCCTCACTCCCAGGTTCTTTTCCAGAACATGAATGACTGGCCCCTGCTGTTTCCTTTACTACTCCGTGTTCATTAGACATAGCAGGCATCAAATATTAAGTGGTATCAATAACAACTCACCCTGATTTCATAAAAATTAAGTGGGGGAAGAAAGCAATACAGGCTTAGGCCTTTTTAAAGCAATACCCATGCAAAGAAGTAAGTAACAGGTTCAAGATCATTGCCAAGATTTTATACTGAAAAAAACCTCACCCAGGCTTACAGATGAAACCCCGGATAGAAAGCTAAAGTGCAGTCCACGATGCAGAGAACACTGCATTCCAAAACAAATGAATATGCCGTTATTCACCTGAGCCCAGTTTCTATTACCCATTTGGAAGAATTATGAAAGGCAGCGGCAATTATCTGTTGGAAGTTTAATAAAGGCCTGGATCAACAGTGTGAAAAAGGGAGGGAGGGATTAAAAAGTAATCTCAAGTGATAGGAAAACAGTAGTGTCTTCTTGATTAAAATTCTGCTTCAAAACTATAAAAAAACAGGCAAATATTTCATTTTATAATATGTTCACATAGCTATTATTAGCTGCCTTTATTTGTTATCTTGGTGAATAATTAGGACCAAAGAATTGCGATGAAAGATTTCAACAGAAACTGAAATGTTGCTTTTTTTTAAAAATCCACAGCGAAAACAAAGGAAGAAACAAAATTTTTTAAGTCAGAGGGAAAAAGGCTGCTTTTAAAGAAAACACCAGGTCTTTGAGCCAGTTCTTCCCAGTTCAGTCATGGCTGAAGAAGCGAAACCAGAACAGACCTGAATTTTTTAAAATTTGGGTGAGCCGGAACAATAACCGGAACGGGAAAAATTACAGGTCAAAGCCCTGCTAGAAACATAATCTTCCTCTCAGAAAACAAGGGCAGCCTACACATCGCACAGCAACCAAATCTCTTGATTTTGAGCAGAGTCGGAAGTAGCGGTACCCTGCTCAAAGATGGTGATTGTTCCGCTCTCCACAGTCCTGCCAATAACCCAATCTCATGCATCAGGCTCCTGAAAGAGTGTACTACACCTCTTCGGAGTCTACCATTCCAGAGTTTCCATCTGTAATTTTTCCTGTTCTGGTTATCGTTCCAGATCACCCAAATTGTAACAATCTGGGTCTCTTCCAGTTTCACTTTGTCAGCCATGACTGAACTGGTTCGAGCCGGTTCGAAGCCTTGAGAAACACCCTACCATAAGAAAATGACCCCAGCATGATTAAATAAGCAGAAAACCCTGGAGAGTACCAAGAGGCAGAGATGTGAGGTGAACATGTGCAATGTGATACAGCAACAAGAGTGACTACAACTATTTTAAGCATCATACAAGTAAACAGGTGACAGAGTCCACAGAGGACGTCTTCTTGCTGTGCTATTAGACTGCCAGCTCAAGACTCATACAGGTGATTAGGACGCGGTAAGAAATGGGTGCTCAGGTACAATTAAGACAGTGATAGGGAAGTTAAAGTAAGCTGAGGTTTGAGACTTAAATATGCATAAACAGTTAAGAGAATAATAAAAGGCAGTAACTGTTATGAAGTATGGAAAGGGAAAAAAAACAAGTTTCTCAGGGAATGCTTCCTGAATAATTAAACGATGTGGGAAAAAAATCAAAGTTCTTTAGCAAAACAAGAGTAAACAAAGGTTTACCTAGATACTCACATGACAGTGGGTGTATATATAGTAAGAAAATTTGGCATTGAAAAGGTGACGAAACTATTGGGTTTCCCTCTCTCGTGTGTTACACCATGGGGACAAGCAGGCCTGACAGGCTCAGGTGCCACTAAGTGAGACACACAGTCCAAGGCTGCTGCAGCCAGAGGGCAGGTGCAGCTCTGAGAGTCCCCTTTGGAAGAGGTGAGACAGCCCTTTCAACACAATTAAACTCACCTCATCAGATCAGGTAAAGTAGTAAGTCAGATCTTGTTTTACTGCCTAACACAGCTTTCCATCCCCCTAGCCCTATAGTCCCACTGCCCAGATGCCACTATTGCTGATGTCCTTTACACAGAAATGTTTATATACACACATTCACAGCGTCGCTTACACACCGTTGGACAGGTGCAAACGGTTCTGTAAACACCTTTCTCCACTATGTGGAGGATGTCTTTATCAGTACACAGAGATCTAAGCTCTCCTTCCTTTTTAATAATACCTGTACAATATAGATGCACTATAATTAACTAATCTTCCATTAGTTAACAGGCAGGTAGTTATCAGTTTTTCCCTACCGCGATGTCACAATGAACATTCCAGAAAGGTCTCTTGGTATATACTTTTTCAAGTGTTGTTAGTTGCCATTGAGTCCATTCTGACTCATGGTGATGGAATGCGTGCACAGTAGAACCGCCCCACAGGGTTCTCAAGGCTGTGACCTTTTGGAGGCAGATCACCAGGCCTCTCTTCTGAGGCACCTTTGGGTAAGTTCAAACTGCCAACCTTTTGGCTAGTAATTCAGCACCTTAACCATTTGCATGACCCAGGAACTCCTTTACTTTTTCAAGTATCTGTCTGCAATTCCTGAAAGTGAAAACTTCTAGGTCAATTAATTTACACCTAATTTGATATATAGTATCTAAATGCCCTTCAAAAAAACTTGCATTTAGTTACTTTCTAATCACCATCATACTGAGCTGACCTGCTTTCCTCTTATTCTCACCATTATGGATATTAATTCTTTAAGGTAAAACAAAGTTCATCTTTAAACCCTTCTCCACTTGCCATCTGCCCAGTGCGCTGTCTCTCGTGCTGTTCAACAAGTCAAATGTATGCCTGACTGGATCACTCACAGGGAAACCAGGACTTTCACAGGGATCCACTCTCCTGGCCTTCTTCTGTGCCTCTCTAACAGAACACCTGCATGTGAAGGTAAACCTCAGGATTCATTAACAAAAATGTACCAAGATATGAAGCACCTTTCATTAACTATCTCAAAGATAAGACGTGCCAATCAAATCTCATTTAACACATGGAATAGGTTAACTCTAGAACCTGGGCGGAAAAGGCTGAATTGAAAACAGAAACAAAAACAGATCCTTGTTCATCAATGTTCATTGCAGCACTATTCAGAAAAGCCAAGAGGAAGAAATAACCCAAGTGTCCACCAACCAATAAAATGAGATATATCCATATAATGGAGTTATTATTCAGCTATAAAAAGGAATGAAGTTCTGGTGCATGTTACAACATTTATCATTATGATATGATACATGACCTTGAAAATATTAAGCTAAGTGAAATAAACCAGACACAAAAACACAATACATGAGTCCACTTATATGAAATATTTACAAGAGGCAAATTCATAGAGACAGAAAGTAGATAAGAGGCTATCGGGATGGAGGTAGAGGAAATGGGGAGCTATTGCTTAATGGGGACAGAGTTTCTGTTTGGGCTGACGAAAAAGTTTTGGAAGCAGAGAGTGGTGAAGGTTACACAACACTGCAAATGTAATTAATGCCACTGAAATTGTACACTTAAAAACTGCTAAAATGGCAAATTTTGTTACTTATATTTTACTACAATAAAAAATAATTAACATCACTTTAAAAGAAATGGAAAGCACTCAACATCAGCATTATCTAGCCAATAAAATCTGAAACTTTTTCAGTTACACGCTGGAGACTGATAGAGGACATCAGAGAACTCCTAGTACCCAACAACCTCTCTGCGACCCCACTTCACAAAATTATCCAGTTTCAGAGCTCCCCTTCCCTAAAAGAACAGAGATTTCACAATAACATAGGTGGAATTCTAGTAGTTAGGACAGTGGGCTCATTAGTGTGAATCTCAGTTTGATCATTACTTGCCACAGGTCTTGGGCAGGTCACTTAACCTCTCTGGGCCTTGGTTTCCTCACTGTAAAAGGGAGTAATAGTAAGTATAATACAGGATTAAGGAAAGGCTCATATTTGCTATTATCATTACTACTCCAAGAACAGTATCGTCAGATTCAAAGGGTACAGCTCTCAGTCTAATCCACCTTAATTTCTAGGGGGTATTGGTAGTTCAGTGGTAGAATTCTCGCCTTCCAAGTGGGAGACCGGCCAGAGTTCAACTCCAGGCCAATGTACCTCATGTGCAGCCACCACCCATCTGCCAGTGGAGGCTTGAGTGTTGCTATGATGCTGAACAGGTTTTAGTGGAGCTTCCAGACCAAGACACACTAGGAAAGAAGGTCTGGTGAGCTACTTCCAAAAATCAGCCAGGGAAAACCCTATGGATCACAATGGTCCGATCCACAACCAGTCATGGGGGTGGCACAGGATTGGGCAGCATTTTGTTCTGTCACTGTGGGCTGGGGGCAACTCAACAACAGCTACCAACTACCACCTTAGCTTCTAACCTACCAAGCTGAAGTTATAGCTTTTCAATCCTGAGAAAAGTATCGTACATAAGTAACTGCTTACCTTTAATGTGCTTAAGTCCTTATTATATTCATGTTAGCAACTGCTAATGAGAGGACTGTTAGCCTATAAACTGTCCCAAAGGTGGCATGCTGGTGCAGCCTCTTTGCAATTTTTTAAACTGCTACTTCCCCTTTTAAGGCATAAATGTTAACAACAGCTCATCCTCACC